TGGAGGGCGACCTCACCCAAGATATTATGCAACGTCCTGAACACTTCGTTCATACATAGTTATCCACTAAATGGTTTATTTCTTGACCAACAATGTGTCGGTATTGAAAAAATTACTCACCCCTATAACATCCCGTTTACACCCTGTAGGGCAAGTCAACCTTGATATTATCGACATACTCACTACGCCCCACTGTTCCACGATATAAGTCTTATTGATAAACATCGTACGACACAAAAAGGAACACCGCCCTTTGTACCAGGCTAAAATTTTATGAGAGTAAAGGGACGTAGACCCGTTATTGAAGGAGATGGGGCAAAATAGTTTGGAGCAATATTGTTCTCCTTGGAACGCTGTACAACTTTGTTGAACATACCCAAGTGATAGCCCCTGCCCCAGCCCCAGAAAATGGGTATAATATGATTTTTTCATATAACGGTATTTTTCATTTACTATGAACAAATGGAAATATTATGTATACCTTTGGATAGGTATTCATGCGTACTACAACTCTGACTCAAGGAGTATTGCCCTACCTCCCATAGTTAGGGAGCTATGGCCCTGGGAAGTGATACCTTTATTTTGGGGTTGCCAACATATTCCCAATTTTAACCCCTTTCCTCACAATTTAGGGGTTGGGTATCTATATATAATTTATCTACACACAATACCCTTTAAGATGATATGCATTAGAACTCTGTACAAAATGGCCCAAGCTCCATACAAAACGGGACACGGTTCTTTGAAAATCCTCTGCAAAGCAAATTTTTCAAATGACCATAATTTTCTTATATGGAACCAATTTGGCAAAACCCTTTTGAGAGTTTTCATGTCTCATGGGCCTCTCCAAACTTTGATATATCCGCTCTGGGTTAGGCAACTTTGACTTTTTTTTGTCGCACAGTGTTATTCAACTTGAGATAACACATCGGTCAATAAGTCCCGAGCCTAACCACCAAGTGGCAACACTAATGTCAAACCCATATCATTTTCGAAAACTACAACCTTTTTTAGGAATCCAGTCAAAATTTGAGCCAAATCCGACCATCAGTTCGCTAATTACAGCACTTTAAATGAAGCAATTTTCCAATTTTCCAAAATCATGGAAAAACTGCATTTCTCCTCTCGATTTGACACATGTATTCCAGAAGAAAAACGAGCAGGAGTACCAAACCCATACTATGATTAGTTTATGGCATCCTTAGGCTTTCGAAATCAATCATTAGATATGGAAGAATTGAATTTATGCATAGCCATAAGAGCGATTTTGTCGATAAGCCTCCAAATTGTTCAAAATATGTGGTTTTGGAAGAAATCATTGCCAAAATCCGTTAAGTGATATCGGAATTCTCAATGTGATAGTTCATAGATTTGCTAAGGCCATAGGGCAACTAACTCAAGCTATAGTTACAACTTTGCATGGATATATGCATATGAAATACTCAATCGAAAAAGCCTTGCCGCGTTTTTGGATATGGAGTAGATAGAACAGTTTTTTGGGGATTCGAAGCCCGTTTGGAGCTGTATAAGTAAAATTTGAATAGGGTTTTGCCTTTATATATTAGAATTAATGTATTTTGAGTTCATTTGAATAGATTCGATCTATAAATTGCGGGTAGAAATCGCCAAAAACGGTTTGTAGCGACCAAGGTCGCAAAATATGAGTTCGGGCATTATTAGTGGATTTAGGTATAGAAAAATATTCGCGAACCAGTGGGAAAGATATAAAACAACATGAAAAGTCACTTATGCATCATTTTAGACCTATCCGAATGTCAAATCTTGATAAAACATAGCAAATTTGGCGAAGAAAACTATGTTGTTCAAATGCGAGTTTCATCCAGGTCAAAGAACTGTTTATATGGTGATATAATTGAACGAAATTGGTTTCAAACTGCTTCACTAACCATTGTATTTTTTAGGTCTGGTCATTCTCTGAACTCTCCACATGAATATACTTGAATACAATGCATCAGAAGAAAGTTATACCGTTTTAACGGCAAAATTGAAGCATTTTCGGGAGTCTTTCTCTCGTATAGCTGTAACTAGCAAACTGATGGTCGGATTTGGCTCAAATTTTGACTGGATTCCTAAAAAAGGTTGTAGTTTTCGAAAATGATATGGGTTTGACATTAGTGTTGCCACTTGGTGGTTAGGCTCGGGACTTATTGACCGATGTGTTATATTCTATTTTATGTACTTGACCATAAAATTCCTAAAAAATTTATCATAATGAAATTCGATTTGTTCAAATGTCCCTTTTTTGTAAAAATTCAAATAATTATTTGTTTTCTCGTTTTTGCATGATTTTTCAATATTTAGGTACCATTGAATTTTTCAGTTAAATCCCATTCTTTCATTGCATGCCTTACTTTATATTCGGTCTGTGCATTAGTTTCGAGCGTTTTTTATAAGACGGTGTAACTAGTACTACACCACATCGGGCAATATTGTTGCTACCCTTATCTTAAAGTACTGTAGAACAGTAAAAAGTTTTTTTCGAAAAAGAAACGCTCGAAATTAATGCGCATAGACCCAATATAAAACGATCAAACTGTAGTTATAAAAGAAGTGGTCGTACTTGCACGTTGTGGAAATCTACACGGTTAAGATCACAAAGCATTTGTGTGATTTGTGTGCTATTTTGCAATACGGCACGTGCAGCTTGTGCCAAGTGATTAAGCGATGTATATCGGCGTAATGTTTGACTGAAAGCTGACACTGCACTTAGTTTGATTTGTACGATTTTTTCTGGGCAACCGGTCATTGCCGAAGTCATCCAATTTTCAAGATTCTTTGCAAAATTTCGAATAGCTTGAGTTAATGCGCTGGGTATCGGACGTAACACGTCAGGGATGAGAACATCTACCATATTCTGATAGAAGTGAAAATCAATCTGAAAGCGAACGTTTTTCCAAAATAAATACATTACAATTTAGTTTCATTTATTGGAACTAATATAAAAAGCGACCACTATTTTTGTGTACCTCTTTGATAAAGTCCTGAACAGCTTTACATTGTAGCAAATTATATAATTTATATTTGCTGAGATATTTCTCTTCTTCGCATTCATCACCATTGTTATTATCTTGTGCTCGCCAAAACTCTCTCCACAATGATTCAACCGTGCTAAACTCCAAATTTAAAATCGCATCCAAAAATGCTTCGCAGTGTTCACGGTAAATTGACCGAAGTGTATCCACATCTTCATGGGTAATGTCTTCAGGCATATCATTTAAAAAGTCAATCGTTGGGAAGAGCGGAATAGCTCCATTACCATCACCAAGAAACTAAAAGTAAATTTCATTCGATTGAATTCTCTTTAATGTAGATTGGATGCGAAAAACCTACTTGTGAGCATGCTTCGTATGATTCTGTCTTTGATGTTGATTTTCGCGTTTTGACAACACTTGAAGTTGATTGATGTGTTAATGTGTTTGCATTTGGATTTGCCTGAGAGCTGTTAGAGGCATGTGGTTTCTCCTCGTTTGTGGTTGCTAAACTGGAACCGGGTTTAACACGTATTCCATAGTAATGGTATTTGGAATTACCTCTGGTACCTAATCGACGTGTACGTAGACCAGTGAAAACTGACCTTATAAGTTTTCCGAAACTAGCTGCATTGACTGCATCTAATTTATGTTCATTGCAATGACGCATATAGTGGTTATATAAAGTTGATCGTGGCAAACTAACTCCTTCGGCTGTCTCATAGTTTTCCATCAACCACGATACCTATTTAAATGAACATGAAATCATTTTTGAAGAAAAATTTCCCTTATATTAGAAAAATTAAATGGTATAAAAGCCTCAATAAGGGCAAACCAAAAACATGAAAGTTTCATACAAGGTGCGAATGAAATAAGACCATCATTCCTGTGCGTAGTAAAAAACTTAATCGAACAATGTCAGAGATAGATGGAAAATATAATACAAAATTAAAAAATAAATAGTTTGCCATAATACATTTTTCTTAAGAGCAACATGTAAAAATAGCGCATGTAGCTATAATTCATTTATAAATGAAACAAAATAATAAAACGATAATTGGTAGAATTCCAATATGAATTCATGTTAATCTAGATGTGCGGCAAGAATCGGCTCATTTTATTATATACTTACCGTCGCGGGCGAAACACGTGTTGCATGCGCTATATTTGGTGTGCAATCCGATTCCGAAGTTGTTGGTGTAGTTGGAGTATTTTGTTGATTATGAACATATGCTACATCCTATTTTCAACGAACCCAACAAAATATTAAAACTTGTTTAATTTATCCCTAACCCATACATGTAAAATCTAGTGATAAACAAATTCCCTATTTCTAACCAACCTGAAAACTTGAAAAATATTCATTCTCTAGAGCTCAAATTCGAACTCGCTTTTATATACATGACGTGTAGTACACAGTTAACATAATCAATCTAATAATATTGAGATTTGACACTTCACTCCGTTTAAGTACCATTTTCACCCAAAAAAACCACCGAAGTACTATAATAAATACACCTGAAGTTTCATTTAAACAATCATCATAGTTGAACGTGTTGATAAGGCCAACGCATTAAAAAAAAAAATTGGATATCATCATCCACCGATATTGGCTACATTTGAACTCTACAACACATACGTGGACAAAATGAAAGCTTCACTCAAGAATGATGCATCGAGATTTTGGCAATATTTCAATTCAAAGAAAAGCACCGACAACAAACCAAAAGTCATGCAACTTGGTGATGTGCGCACGGCAAACGAAACGGAACAGGCCAACCTGTTTGCTAATTTCTTCAGCAGCACCTACGATGACTCAACGACTCAAGGCGTTCAACAATCGCCTACCGATGAGTCACAGCAAACTGAGGAATTTCAGCCCGACATCAATTTTGTGTTTGAAGAGCTACAAGCCGTGAACACCAGGAAAAGAACGGGTCCCAATGGTATGCATCCATTGATACTAAAGAATTGTGCGAGTCATTTGGCGGCTCCACTCACGGAGATCTTCAATGAATCATTGTCGAATGGCCATTTCCCCGACAAATGCAAGCGCTCGAGTGTATCACCCATTTTCAAGAAGGGGCGAGATCTAAGATTGAAAACTATCGTTCCATTGCAAAGCTCCAAACTGTGGTGAAGTTCTTTGAGCATTTGGTGAATGTCAAACATCTGTCACTGGTACATGACAAAATCACCAAAAAGCAACACGGCCTTATGAATTCCAGATCCACTGCATCTAATCTCACCGAATTTACCTACTATGCCCAGAGAAGCATAAATTCAGGTGCGCAAGTGGAAGTTCTCTACACAGACTTCAGTAAAGCGTTTGACAGAGTTAAACACAAGAGATTGATTCTGGAACTCAGATCGTTCAACCTGCCGGACAATCTTCTTCTTGCCTGGATCGAATCATACCTGTCAAACAGAACACATTTCGTTAATTATGGGAGCAGCGAGTCAAACGAATTCAGCGTTTCATCTGGCGTACCACAGGGAAGTCATCTCGGACCCACACTATTTTTGTTATTTATCAATAACATAGTCGATGGAATGGACGACGTGTTCATTTCCTTGTTCGCCGATGATGTAAAAATCGCCAAAATCATCAACTCGAGCGCCGATGCGGAAGTGCTACAGCGAGCCATCGACAAACTGAAGGTTTGGTGCGACTTAAACAATTTGCACCTGAACCTTGACAAATGCGCCATCCTTAAAATCACCACTAAGATGAAGGACGTTATCGATGCGAGTTACAAATAAGTTGATTTCATTTTCAAGCGCGTATCGGACCACAAAGATCTCGGCGTCATTGACCAGAAACTTAATTTCAGGGCTTTAGAATCGCTCAGAGTGAACCCTGTGAGTAGTGCAATGCATCACAATATCGTGTGCGCTACACGCACACGAACGGACCACGAACAGTTCACAAGTTATCAAATACAAATGAGTTTACCACTGTCCGTTCAATGTGCGCTCAAATACTCACAGCAGACACGCAGAGTAAAAAAAACATGTTTGTGCCTGTATTTCGGCTATGTTGAACATACTACTACTACTACTACTTCTTCTTTTTTTTCTTCGACCAACGAAGATCCGCACAAAGCAGAGGGAAAGTAAGTACGCGGTGTGCGCACACAACTCAGTTTTGTGAGAAGAGCATCGCACACGAGCGCTGTAGCTCTCACTGAAATGAGTTGTACTGTGAACTGAGTGTGCGATTCTTAAGCCCTGCTTAATTTTGTCAAGCACATCGACGCAATTACTTCAAAAGCAACAGCCGCCCTTGGTTTTATCAGGAGATTTTGTTACGATATAACCGACGTTCAAACGCTCAAAACGCTGTATTACGCATTATTTCAGTCGCATCTTGAGTACTGTAACGTTGTGTGGCTACCAAATTATTCCGTACATACTGACAAGACCGAGAGCATTTTGAGAAAATTTACCCACTTCGCCCGGAGAGAATATCGTACAGCGGCCAACGGCTACAGTATCACCGACTACAACAAGCGACTGGAGGCGTTGAACATGACATCGTTGGAGCGTAGGAGAGTGAATACATCAATTGTATTCATGTATGACATCGTGAATGGGAACGCAAACTGTCCCAATGTACGCAACGACATCGCAATTGGAGCGTACATATCTTACGGCAGAGCGTACATATCTTACGGCACACAGAATACCTCAAGATCAGAGACAAGCTCATGGAAAAACAAATCAGAGCTCGGGTGCCACAAATGTGCAAGTTTGCACACAAAGTGGCTGATCAATTCGAAAATTCCACCAGTCGCGCAAACTTCATCTCGTCGATACGCAGCGAACAAAGCCAAAAATTCAATATAAAATATTAACAATTTATTTCTTACTTGTTACATCTCTACTGAATGTATAGAAATAATGATATTTATCTGTGATCTTTACAAAAACTTTGATATAGTTAGCAACATTGACTGTGATATAGCCATCTATTGAGTTAGTGATTCTATTGGACCTATTATTTATTTACTATGATGGAAACTAATTAAATTATGTCAATGTTTGTTCTACAAAGAATTATTCGAATTATTCATATCTTTCGGCCTCGACGTGAATTGTAAATTCAAAACTACCAACAGGGACTTGCTTGAATTAGACGTAAAACTTCTCTTCAATTTATCACTTCTTTGATAGATTGGACGATGGATTTGCAGTCATTGAGGTTGACATGAATATGTTTAACCGGGCAGCTGCAACGTTGCGCTTCAAACACAAAAAGCGCCATCTGCACATATTTGACTATTCAAAGTGAACTAGCTGTCATCAGTATCGATGAGTCATCGACGCTCAATTTTGGGTCGTAAACAGTACATTGAAAATTGCAAATGTGCCGTTTATGACCCAAAATTGAGCATCGATGACTCA